TAGCCTCAGGTTTCTCATCTATGAAATGGGACTAATAAGACGTACCCCATAAGGTTGGTGCTAGAATTAAATGAAATGATGTTTGTCAATTACGGTGTAGTGCAGTGATGGCGAACCTATGACACGCGTGTCAAAGGTGACACGCGAACTCATTTTTTTGGTTGATTTTTCTTTGTTAAATGGCATTTAAATATATAAAATAAATATAAAAAATATAAGTCTTTGTTTTACTATGGTTGGAAATATCAAAAAATTTCTATAGGTGACATGGCACCAGAGTTAAGTTAGGGTTTTTCAAAATGCTGACATGCCGAGCTCAAAAGGTTCGCCATCACTGGTGTAGTGTCTGGCCTATAGAAAGCACTAGGTAAAGCACTGTTTTTGGCATTGTCAGGTGACTGGAATTTTAAGGAGAGCACTATTGTTATTGAATAAAGAATAGATCAACCTGGCCCGTGTGACTATGTGGTTAGAGCGCTGGCCTGTGCACCCAAGGGTCACAGGTTTGATTCCCAGTCAAGGGCGTGTACATTGGTTGTAGGTTCACTCCCTGCCCCTGGTTGGGGCACTTGCGGTAGGCAACCAGTTGATGTGAGAGAGACACATCGATGTTTCTCTCCCTCCCTCCTGTCTGCTCTCTCTGAAAAGGAATGGATCATTACAGGTAAGAGTGGAGACGGGGAGTTCATTAAGAAGCTGCAGTAGGGTTCTACGTGAGAGTTGGTGTAGCTTGGACCTGAATTCTACCTGTTGGGGTAGAGGAAAGGGGGCAGGATCCAGAGATGGCAGAAGGAGGTGGCTTGGTGGATGTGGAGGGTAACAGAAACTGAGGCATCCAGAATGACTCCTAGTTTCTGTCTCATGGAACGGGGTCAATAGACAGTGGAGGGAAGTGGTGAATTCAGTTTGGGAACTTCCAAGTCAGCACATCCCTGTAAGCCCACTCTGCACTGTCATTCAGCTTCTGGGAGACAACACGCAGGCAGTTGGACACACAGGCCTGAGGCTCAGAAGAGCAGTTTGGGCAAAGAAGAGATAAGGAAGCTGGCAACATTTAGATGGCATTGAACTGTGGGAGGTGTACACAGCCCAAGGGTGGGAAGAATGAATCCCAGTTGGGGATGGGGAGAAAGACAGATCCTCTGTGGGAAAATAAGATGTGCAGCCAGAGATCGGTGGTAAACCAGGGGCATGTTGCCTCTTGAAATTCAAGGGAAGGAAGGGCTTATGGAAGAGAAGGAGAGCCACAGAGAGAAAAGCTTTGCTGAGATCAAGCAGAATAAGGACTAAACATTGGATACTGGATTCAGCAGCAGGGAAGCACTGGTGACCTCGTCCAGACCAGTCAGGGAGTGGTGGGTACAGAAGGCGGTCCAGGATGAGAAGAGGAGGGGGTGGTGTGGAGAGGGAATGGAAGTACACATCTCTTCCGTAAACTTGGCTCTGAAAGGGGGTGAGGGATGGGGTTGCTAGAAAAAAAAATCATGGGTCCACAGAGGGTCTCATTTCTTTGTGTAGTTATTTATTTAAAGTCAGCTTGATATTGAAATATAATATGCATACAGAACGGGCACATTCAGTGGTACAGCTCGATACATTTTCACAAGGGAACACAACTACATAGGATTAGGAAATAGAACCCAGATTAGGAAATTGAACATCAGCACCTCCCTGGAAGCCCTCAAGGGTAACTACTATTCTCAAGGGTAACTACTATTCCGATTTCTATAACCATAGATGAGTTTGGCCCATTTCTGAACTTCGCATCAGAGGAATCATACCTATATCCTCTCTTGTGGCCTTGCTTCTTTCACTCAGCATCACATCATGTCTGTAAGATTCATCCATATTGTTGCATGTAGTTTATTCTTTTTGTTGTAGAGCATTCCGTTATCAACTGATGGCCATTTGGGTAGTTGCCAGGGTTGTTTTCATTTTTTATGTGGGAGTGACTTGCGTTTGTTTGAGGCCTGTGGAGAACGTCTGAAACACTCCTCTTCTATGAGAAGGGAGAGAGATGACTAGGATTTCTCCAGCGGGAAATGAGAGCCCGGCCGAGGTTGAGAATTGCTCTGCAGTTCCAGCTCAGCTGCTGGGCCAAGGCCTCTGGCAGCTCCTGCCAGCCTGTGTGCAGGTGCAGAGAAGTCAGAGAGTCAGGTTGCCCAGGGTTGGTTTCTGCCAGGTAGGAAGAAGCACAGAGTGCTGGGGATATTAGCAGCAGGCGAGTGACGAGTCATGGCTGTGGATTCAGGCTGGGAGAAGGGTGTGCAGGGAAGGTAGGGAAGAGAAGGTAGGAGGGAGCTGGCAGAGAGAAAGAAAGCAGAGGCGGGTTGTGAGCTCTGTGCAGGGTGGTGTCTGTGCAATTCCGGCTGTATCTCCAGTTACTGGCACAGGCTGGAGTCATGTGGGCCCTCTTCCCTGGGTCGGGGGCAGTGCCCAGGGTTGTCCTTCAGTGAATAGTTGAATAAATCAGCTGAGAGCCCCAGAGGTCTCAGGTAGAAGCAGGTGAGGTGGGGGTGACGGAGAGCCTGAAGGTTGTAGTCAGTGTGGTTGTGATTTAGGAAAGGGGCCTTCCGGAGCCAGGTGATAAGGCTGGGGTGTTCCCGTGGCTGGGGAGCGGGGAGCTGAAGGATGCAGGGGCCAATGTTGGACAGGCAGTTCACTGAATGCATATTTTTCAAGAAGGGAATAGGCGATAGCATTTCTCAAACTGGGGTCCTTGGACATCTGGCATCTGAATCTATAGAGGGCTGGTGGGCTTGTTGGAAATGTAGATGCCTGGGTCCACCCTAGCTTCTTGGGGAGAAAGGAAGCCCAGTGCAACAGAACTAAGCATCAAGGAGCAAGAGTGTTTGAGATGGAAGAGCACCTGCCCCTCTGAGGACATGGGATGCCCAGTGGACCCTAGGCATGGTGGCCTCTATCCTGGTTGGAGTGGACAAGGGGTTTTCTATTTTTTTAATTATTTTTTAAAATTGATTTTAGAGAGAACGTGAGAGGGAAAGAGAGAGACAGAAGTATCAATGATGAGAGAGAATCATTGATTGGCTGCCGCCTGCAACCTGGGCATATGCCCTGACCAGGAATTGAACTGTGACCTCCTGGTTCATAGGTCAATGCTCAACCACTGAGCTTCCAAAGAAGAGTTACTGGGCCAGGAACGGGCTCACACTAAGGGGATTTGGCCCATGGGAGCTGGAGGCCAGGACGGGGCTCCGCCCTAGGAAGCAGCTTCTGTTAGAGAGGAGGCCCTGGCTGGACAGTGGGTTCTCTTGCCTGGAACCTGGGGTGGTGGGGAGGGAGAGTGCCCAGACTGAGCACCCCCTCTGTGGGTGATGGGCAGGGGTTGAGGTGCATGGGGCTGTACCCAGTTCTTTCTCTGCTTCCTTCTCGGGGCAGCAACACAGGATATCCCACACTTTTAGCTCCTTTGCCTTCTCAGTCTCTCTGACCCCTCATGGTCAGCGCCTGACTGTATGCCCTCCACGGGCACAGCCCCTCCACTCAGCTGCCACTCTCTAGCCTTCACACTCAGAACCCCAACTCTCAGCCCTCTGTGTGTTCAGCCCTTTTTCAACACGCCTCAACCAACAGCCACTCTGTGAGCCCCGTATGCCAAACTTCGCCCAATGCAGCCGGCACTGTGTCCTCATTCTATTTATCCTTCCATATTCACGGCTTAACTCCCTTTACCCACACTGCTGATCCCACCCGTGAAGATCCCCGC